GCAGTCTTGTTTTAGATACATATTCATGAATAGAATTATCAGCAGTAACTCAAGGTGCAGACAAGTTAATTATTATTAGATTTAAATCCCGTTGGAATACCAGATTATTTTTATGAAGAATTTTGAAAGATCTTTTCTCTCTTAAATATGAATCTTCTGTAATGTAGCACAGGAAAACAAGTGCACTTCTATTAACAATCATAACAAGTCCAGCTTTTTGCACAGATTTTTGGGCAGAGCATGAGAGTAGCCTAGTTTATTAGAGCAGTATGTTTCATCGCCTTCTGATCAGTACTTGGGCTTCCTGTTACTGGAAAGAGGAAGGATGAAGCAGGAGAAGTAGAGATAGGACGACACAGATCTTCAGCCACCCATTGCCAGGATGTGGACAGATTTTAAAAAGTAGTCAGCAGCTTCCACTGCTATTCTTAAAACGAGAATAATGCCCACTAGTGTAAATCTTTCTTGCTGATTTTAGGTTAAAGTTTACCAGCAAATTTTTAGGGCTGAGATTATCTCTTGCACAATGCTGAATGCATTACCATTATTTCAATAGGAGCAATCCAATTTAAATAAAGAAAAGTGAAGTTGTTTCAGAGCAAGAGATGCACTGAATGTCAGTACTAATGTTATTAGACAGTACTGTGACAAATAGAATTAAGTATCAACCAGAACCACTCTTAGTGCTATTAAAGGGGTGAGGGGATGATTTATGGATCAAATGTGCACACAAAATCTTAAAAATGTTGTTTATCGTATATTTATTAAAATTGGCAAATACTTTAAAATGTGAGTATTTACATTTTTGTGCTCAGAAGGTCATCTTCTCCTTCCTCAGCTCCCACCAAATGAATCCTAAACCAACATACAATCATCCTGCTGATGAATCCAAAATAAAGACTTTTTTTGTATGCCACTGAATTAAAAACTGATTCAGGGCCAGAGAACTTACTCAAATTCATGTATTCAAAATGAATATACATTGAAAAATTTCTCTGGATTTGTTCAATGCCAGAAAACACTTAGTGTAATTCTGTGCTTTGAACTCTACAGAGATTACTTCGTCATCTTGGTTTCCCTCAGTAAGTATTCGCCCTTTACCTTCTCCCTTTGCCTTACGGTACACTGCTAATATTAATGCCACATACTATCAGTACGGGAGTGAGCGAATAGCATCGCTTCCTCAGATCATTCCAAATCTTCTCATTTTAACTATTTTATATTGAATTTTGAACTGGTTAAGCCATTAAAACTTAAGTGGATTGAAACAGATCTCTATTATGTCCAGGGAACATTTCAGACATTAGGACGTTAAATGACCGTGTACAGTATTCTTTGACCATGACTTCCCGTAGGATTTATCAGCAGCAGTGCTGAATTAAGACATTCTCTGCCCCTTTAGTTCTGCTGAAAACACAGATCAATTCACTGCTCAGCTCTTTGTATTTAGCCCCAGTGGCCTGTAAGCAGTTAAGCAGAACCCACAATAGAAGGACCTATTCTCACCCACCACAGATCAGTTCATCATTTTTAGGGCCTATTTACACCGTGGACCTAAAGACTGTTGCTGTATAACTGAGAGCAAAAAAAGGTATGAAGTCCTTTGGCCACCATCACCATGAAATGCATATGGAATTGCATCTTCACGTGAAATTGAAAGTTGTTACATAAAAATATGCTACAGTATTGTTCTTAATATCACTATTACCTCATAAACCTTGAATGAAAAAATATGATATTTAGTATTATTTGTAGCTTTAGAGTTCAATTATCATCATACCTAGCTAGTAAATGGCAGAGCACTATGATCCCAGAGGAGTCTCCTTCACAGTCACAAGAGCTTCTGATGTATTAATAAAAATGATTTAAATGAATAGCCACTAACTGAAGTCAAAGAAAATCTAAATAAAGGCTATCATCTCTTTGCCACTTCCCCGGCATTATAGAGTTTCAAATAAAATCATGTCCATGCACACTCAACTAATTCTAAGCATACTTTCACAGGGTCTGTTTTAAGGAAAGCCACACACTTCCGACAGGTTCTAGCTTTGTTTCACTGACAGAGCTCAGGCTTTCTGAAATTCACAAATGTACAGATTCTAGCAAAGCAGGACATATCTTGCAACTTAGCCCACTCTTCGCATCGTTTTTCTGTTCCCCAGGTATAGCACAGTTTTTCTATAAAATATTCATCCTAAACAAGCTCAGTTGCACTTAATCAGCTCAAAGGTTACACACCCCCTTGCTAACATTGACCTTGCCTGGGCCTAATCCCATGGCTGTAAGTGGTTTGGCTATGAGTCTTTTGAGAGAGTACCAGAGGACCTGGCTAGGAAGTCCCTCTAGTAACACCAGAAGATCTTCACCTGTTTTCATAGTGCCAAATCTTGATGTTACCAGACACAGATGAACATTCATGGTACTGAAACCTTTGATATCATACATGCTGTTGATTTAAACTACAAAAGTTTAGTCTTTTACTATAATTAATGAAATTCATTTTGGGGAAAAGAAAAAAGAGTGACCAACAATGCTTTATAGTTTTAAGGTGCTGGTACATGTATGGGCAAAGGCAACTATAACAGGAAAAGTTCATGACTTGATCTTTCTAAATTACGCAGAGAAATAATCATTCGGTAAAACTACTCACACAAATAATGAGCAGGTTTACTCAACACAATAAAAGCTAGTTATATATGTAAATATTGCATGGTAAACTACTTAGTAACCAAATTTATACTTTTAAGATGATTTCTACTTTGACATTTTCAAGATGTCAACAGCATAAAGACCAGTTTTTGCTTTGAACATAAAACATTTCCCTCAGAAATGACAGCAATGAACAGCATCACGAAGAATGAAAAAAATACATATACTGAAATTTTATTCTGTCCCTGAAATAAACAAATGATTCAACAGTGAATTGTGATTAAATGGATTGGATTTAAGCCAACGTTACAATTGTCTGGTCTTTACAAAATCTTCTGCTGCCATGTCAGTGGAAAGTGCAGTGTAAGTAATTTACATGTGGGATGCTGTAGAGGTGATGGAGGTAAACAAATCTGTATGGTACCCAAAACCTTAGAGTAGCGCAAGCAAAGTATGTCAGCAGAACAAGAAAATACTGTATTTTCTCAGTGATACTGTAGACTTTCAACCAATTTTTGTAGCTGCTTTTAAAGATAACTTTTCAAACAATGGCTGGTTGATGACTGGTTTTGGCTGGCTTAGCTGAAGGTGGAAGTGCGCTGTGAGGATTAGATGTGCTAGCCCCACCTCTGGAGTACCTCTAGAAGGGGGAGTCATACAGACAGCGAAATGAGGAACAGGGAGAGGTGGGGATTAAAAGCCTCATTCCGGGCTCAGTTAGTTTGTTTCCAAAACCAACATTTCTGCATGTCCATGCAGGAGGTGAGCAGTGGTCGAGGCTCATTCGGGAACATGCAGTTAGAGGTGCTCACAGAGGAGTATGTCACTTTTTCAAAGTCCTCTGGAATAAAATGGCCTTAGGTTTGTCACAAGTTAAGGGTAATGCGGTAGGTAGAGTCTAGAACAGAAAGGCAGCCGAAGCCCAGTCCTCGGGATTCAATATCACGTAAAACATTCACTGGTTGATCTGTAGAGCTCTGTGCAGCGACCTAGCTGAGGGTCAGCCTGCAGGTGACACTTTGCCGACGGGCAAGAAGACTGCACCCGGGAGGAACCAGGCGGAGGAGGCCTGGCACACCGGCAGCCTGTCTGGGGACTCGGCAGAGACAGGCACAGGGCATGACCTACACCTACAAAACAAACGCGGAGCGTGCCAGGCTGCAGCTACACGATGCGTTTAAGGAAGTTGTGGCCCGCCACTTCTCTTCCACCCTGAGTGACTGCGACACCCTTTATCTGCAGTCACAGCAAGCCGTGGGCGCGGGTGTCCTCAGCACAAACGGCTGGAACTGTCAGCAGCCCCACAGCCGGGCTGGCAGAACACAGCTTTTGTCCTCACGGGGAGATGTTTCATTGCAAAGACCCACACAAACAGCACAGGGGTGTCATTGAAGCTCCTGCAGGGATGGGATTGCCAGAGTCGCAGCTCTCCCCTGAGGATCACTGGAGATGCAGCGCAGCCAGACCCAGCAGAGCAAATCCCCATAGTGAATTCTGGCAAAAATAATTTAATCGGAATGTAGCTGTGTGAGAACTGTCTGGTAGTAAGAGAATGCTGCTTGCAGTTTATTTCAAATAGTTCTGTCTTTGTCTGCCAAGGCCTGTTGCACCAACTACTGTGTTTAAACTAGATTTGTAAGCACAAAGGTGTGATAAAAAGGCCTCACACGCCACAATTATCTGAAGAAAGACTGAGAACAGTGAAGAACTGGATACAGTGTAAAAGCAAGGAGCAGAGGGTGCCAAAAATAACTGCGGATATTTTATTGAAAGGAATGCCGGATTGATGTGAGGGTGACTTCTACCAACAGCGGCAAGCAGCCAGCGCCGGGACTCAACCCCACGCGGCGGGATGGCTCTGAGCAGGCCACGGGCCGCCGAAACAGCGACACGGGGCAGCTCCGGAGCCTCCCGGGCCGGGGGGGCACCACCGCGGGGAGCGGCCCCGGGAGGGCCTCGCCTGTGCCCGGCCCAGCCCCGAGGGCACGGCGACCCCTGCGGAGGGCCGATAGGGGCGGCAGGGGCGCTGCCGGGGCCGTGCCCGGCGATAAGGGGCGGCCAGGCCGGGCAGCCCCGGCCCCTTCCCCGCCGCCACCGGGGGGAGGCGGAGCGGGGCCGTGTGGGCGGGCCGCGGGGCGCCATGGGCGGCGGGGCCGGGCGCGGCCGCTCGGCGCTTCCCGCTCCTCCTCCTCCTCCTCCTCCTCCTCCTTCGCCGCCGCCGCCCGGCCCCGGGGCGCGGCGCTGCCGGGCTCGGGGCTGGCCCGCAGCGGGCCCGTGAGGCGCGGCCGGCCCCTGCCCGCCCCGGCGGGCCCCGCGGAGCGCCCCTCCCTGCCCGCCTTCCTCCTCCTCCTCCTCCTCCTCCTCCTCCTCCGGCGAGGGCGGGCGGAGGGAGGGAGGGAGGGAGGGAAGCGGCAGCCCCGAGCGGGAGGCGAGGGAGGCGGCGCGCCGGGAGCCATGCGGGAGTACAAGGTGGTGGTGCTGGGCTCGGGCGGCGTGGGCAAGTCCGCCCTCACCGTCCAGTTCGTGACCGGCTCGTTCATCGAGAAGTACGACCCCACCATCGAGGACTTCTACCGCAAGGAGATCGAGGTGGACTCCTCGCCGTCGGTGCTGGAGATCCTGGACACGGCGGGCACCGAGCAGTTCGCCTCCATGCGGGACCTCTACATCAAGAACGGGCAGGGCTTCATCCTGGTCTACAGCCTGGTCAACCAGCAGAGCTTCCAGGACATCAAGCCCATGCGGGACCAGATCATCCGCGTCAAGAGGTACGAGCGGGTGCCCATGATCCTGGTGGGCAACAAGGTGGACCTGGAGGGCGAGCGGGAGGTCTCCTTCGGGGAAGGCAAGGCGCTGGCCGAGGAGTGGAGCTGCCCCTTCATGGAGACCTCGGCCAAAAACAAAGCCTCGGTGGACGAGCTCTTCGCCGAGATCGTCAGGCAGATGAACTACGCCTCGCAGCCCAACGGGGACGAGCAGTGCTGCGCCGCCTGCGCCATCCTCTGAGAGCGGCCGGCGGCCGGGGCTGCGGGAACAAAGGTCCGCGGCGGCCGGCACCGAGCTCCGGGACCGAGCACCGGGCACCGGCACCGGGCATCGCCGCCGGCACCGCCACCGCCACGGGCACCGGCACCGGCACGGCCGGGGGGCGGGCGCGGCGCCCCGGGCATCCGCGGGGGGGAAGGAAAAAAAAAAAAAAAAAAAAAACACTTAAAAAAAAAAATCGCGTTGGAAACGTGGCTTTTCGCAGCATGTACGTTCATCCAGTCTCCACCGTCGCGTGTTCCCTGTGGTGTCTGCCGCAGCCGGCCGTGGGCAGCGGGACCGGGAGGAGGCCGCGGATCTATGCAAAGCGGGCACCGCACGGCCACCGGCACCGGCGTGCGGCGCCGGGAGGCGTCTGCTGATCACTTGTGAAATAATTTTCTATTTTGTTTACCTGCTGTATCAGATGGGAGTTTGCAGAGAGTGGTAGCGTGTTGTTTTATTTTTTTTTTCCTTTAATCAGCTGTGAAAATGTTACAAATCTGCACAATTTTTTAGGCGTGCGTGTGTGTGTGATTTCGTTTTTATTTTGCCCTTTGGCGGGTGGGAGCGGCGGTGTTTTGGTTTCTAGGGTTTTTTCTTTTTGGGTTGGCAATAACTGATTTTGATGACTAGCTCTCTAAAAAGTGCAAAGACTTCCTAAATGCGATACAGGGCCAACAGCAGCCCTGTGTCTGTAGAGTGCCTTCAAAACTCAGCTGTTCCAGCCGGTGCCAACCTGTGAAAGCTCCACAGAATCCCATTATCTACTACTCCAAAAACTACTTAACAGTTTCCTTTCAGTAATCATACTGAACAAGCCAGGACAAAAGGGCCTATTGTTAGTGGAATTTATTTCTTATTTCCATCTGAGCCTTTTAACTGTAATTTCCATGTCTTGCAAGTTCGGGCTTCATTTACTTCAAATTTGCAAGAATTTAGCCTTTTGGGATTTTGGGGGTGGGCTTTTTTGTTCTTTCAGTTTTTATTTTATTATATTTTATTATTTTCTAAGTGTGGGATGTACCTCCAGCCAGCAAAGAAAGAAACCTTAACGTTGTGATGTACCAAGAAAATTCTAACAACTGTCATTTTGTTTCCAGACATGCGTTTAAGAGATGTCTATCCATTTTCAGAATTTTAATACAAATGCTGTTTTTTAGAAAACAACTTTGTGCGCTTTTATGTATTACACAAAACACTTTCACATAGGCCGTTAATCCCGATTTATATTGTAATAGATGCAAAAGTGGCGGGGGGGGGCTAGGTTTAGCTAAGGACAGCGTTTAAAAAAAAATAGACAAAAAACAAGCCCCAAGATTACTAAATATTGGGTAAAATAACAATTGGTGATGCAGCTTTTCATTTGTGTTTGGGTCCTGGGGCTGTGTGATGCCAGCATGCGCGTGGAACGCTGTGGGCAGTGGGCAGCTTTAGGAGGGTAGCGCGGCCTCAGTGGGAAAACGTCTTGTAAGGTTGGGAACTTATCCTTTACTAGGAACAGGTTTACCAGGAAGAGCAGAATTCTAAAGATCAATTATTTAAAAATTTAAACTTTTAATCTTGCTACATTTTAACTCTTTGAAATTATGCATCAAGACTATTGCTACTTCCCTCCAATGAGGAAGGATTGGGGTGGGAGGACACCTGTACCTTCTGTGATTTGGAAGATCTAGGGAGTTTGTTTACCTCCATTACCTTCCTCTCTTAGCCCCTTCTTTAAAGATTAGTACACAAAAAACCACAGTTCTTTTTCTGCATCCCAAGAAGACTTGAAGTTATCTATATGACATGGAAACAGAAATTAAGCAATGGTGTGTAAAGGTTTTTTAATTAGGCCAACTGAAAACAAACCGCCTTGATGTCTGCCATAAATCTGATCATTTCCTCTTCTAACTAGGAAAGTTTTCTGCTTCAACACTGGAAGGAGTGGTTTTAGTTTTAGCTTAATTCTAAACAGTGAAACCTCAGTGATTGAAATTAAAATGATAATATTGTGTTCCAGTTGGGGCTTGGATATTGATCTTAGCAATATGCAGTATCTCCTGAAAATTTGGATAAGAGTATGTTCTGAATATTAGGGGCTTCTTTTAACAAAAAATACTGTATTGAAAATGATGAAAGCTTGATTGCAGGCATATCTTGCACTGAAGTTTTAAAAATACAATTTGCCATAAATTTATGTCTCAGCTATTGTGATGGTCCAATTTTGCCTTAAATTCAGTGGGATTATATATATATTTCTAGCACCTAACAAGCCTTGCTCCAGATCAGTGTATTGAAAGCAACTCACTCAGCTTGGTAAAAGCAGATACTCATTCTGTTCTCCACAACAGGTAGCAGAGTATTCATGTTTTGTAGTGCCTCCTGTTCGCCTATTGCCTGTGTTGTGATTGAGGAGTGATGCAAAAATGGGTGTAAGTAGCACACAGTGGGGCGTGAAGTCCAGTTTTCCTTAGCCTAACAGAGCAGCTGAAGGCAACTTGCTAAATTCTGGATTATGACTTTTTTTTTTTTGTAGATATACTCTAGTTCTTGCCAAAAAGGTGTGTTTGTCAAACAGTGAAGGATTTAAAAAAAAATCAAAAAAAAAAATATGGCATGGGTCTAATCAGAGTTTTGAATGTATTTAGATGTTCAATGTTCTCTATGACTTGGTGAGGACAGTACAAATAGTTGAGCTCAGTAGTCTGATCTTCCAAATACCTTGAAGTGTTTTGGTGCTTGTTAAACGTAGGCCTTGTCTATAAAGTAGAAAAAAAAAAAAAAAAATACTGCTTTAACTTGACTGAATAATGAAAGCTATATTTGCTTCTACACTAGAGGAAAATATTGTATCAATATAAAGGTACTCTTATTTCTTTTCCCTGTGGGAATATGTTATACCAGTGTCAATATAAAGGTGGTATATAGCTCTTTTCACAGTGAGAATTGCAAAAATTTAATTGGTTTGGAAGAAAAATTACATGCCCAGCCAAAATACTTCCTGACAGTCCAGAAATCATGTAAACAAGGCCTTAGTTTAAGGCTGGTCCTATGGCCACATATTTTGCTGTACATTATGATTGTATCTTTAAAAATCCAAGCTTGTTCTATCGCAAGGAAGCATGCCTTTGAAATGCCAGTCTCTGTGATTGTAACTGTGCAGTATTTTAAACCTCATTTTCAATACAGTTGTGGTTCTTCTCAACGCAGTGCTCAGGCTTTATTGATGCTTACAGTTCTGCAGACCACGGTACGTTCTGTGGCTGTGGGGTTCCTTGGTGGTTCTGCTTCTCTCAAAAGAATGTTTGGCAAGTTTTTTGCAAAGGGCATTTTGAATAAAGGGCAGCTGGCTCTTTATGACTTCTTCATCTGGATGCTCCTTGCATGCAGGTGTTGTTAAGTATCAGATTTCTTTGAGGAGTGACAAAATGCAAGAAATTCCATTTTCTTTAAGAGTTTTATGTGAAAAGGAGTGGCATATGTGTCCTCTTGAATCTGCTGCCATTCAAATTAATGGACAGCTCCTGTGATGGTAAATGGAAAGCGTTTGGAGCTGTACTGCTTGCTATTAGAAGCTGTCTTACTTTCCAGATTTGTATAGCAGGCAACCCAAAAAAACATCTTGACAGACCTTCACTGTACCCTTGGGAATTTCTATTCTGAGTGCCCATTCATGCTCTGAAGAGGTTTGAGACTTGCTATAGAAGCAAGTTTATGTACATGAGCTCTGTTCAAAGGTGGAATAGTTTCAAATAATGATCTTTATAGCTTATAGCCTCCTCCTACAGTGTTTATAGCTTTATACAAAATGTGTATGTCAAAAAGATTCTCGTTCTTGTCATGTTGTTATAACATCATGATATAAAATCTCATTTTTGTAGGAATTCAACATTTGCCTGACTTGTAATTTTATTTTATTTTTTTTATTTGGGGGTGACAGTCTTTGGCAAACATATGAGTAGCAGCTGAGAGAATGATTGAAAAATAGGTTTTAGTTCAAACGATTAAAGAAACTCGAGTTATAGTGATGATATTTGAAGCGTTTTGCTGGGAATGAGTCTTGTGTGTATGTTGGTTTGTTTTTAATTTAAGTAGACTAAGGATTTATTAGTCTGTAATCAAGAAGCTCACTGTATTTCCCAATGAAGAGTGTGTGCGTGCATGTATTTCTTTTGACTTTGTTCAAGTTGGAGTCAAAATTATTGCCCTTGCCATAGGTGGTCTCACCCTTTGTGATCTCAATTCTGCATGCAGTTACCATCACGATGAAGAAAACACCCAATGAAACCTGAACTAGTCAAGTGATAAAGGCGTCAAGCAGAGATTTCTGCACAGAAAGCTTAAGAACAGCCATTTAAATCTCTCCATAGCAATCTTAAAATGCCTGCACAGGTATGACTGCTCTAATGCACAACAGTGCTGATTTAAAACTGTTGATGCTTGTGCAGTGCTGCACCAGATGACATTATGCATAAAGCAAATACTGTAGGTAAATACTTAATCTGCAAAATCTAACAATATGTCTTAGTTCCTATCTAAACCACTATAAAGTTAGAAGCAAGTTAACCAGAACTTGTAAGCTGTTCAAACAAGTTGCAAAAGATTGGAAGCAGCTGTTGTGTGATGACTTTATTTTGGCAGTCTCTGGGTCTTTTGGAGGTTTGGGCAAAGAGGAGACTAAGTGATCCAGAATCCTTGGCTTTGTTTGGGATACAGAGAGATTTTTAGGAAAATGGTGTATGACATGTAACGTCAGCTGTAATGACTTAAGAAACATTTACTAAACTCTTTGCTTTTAAGATAACATTATAAAAAGTGCATAGTAAATAGACCAAATGTCCAGGTAGCAGGTTACAGATGCTCCTCTGCGTGACTACAAGTGTGCAAGAAGTTCCACAGCAACTGGTCTGACCAGAGTGACATTGTGATTTTTTTTTTCCTTTTGATAAAGGCTTGTTATTCTGTTGTATTACAACTCTAGGATGAAAAGGGATGTTTGAGAGTATTCTTGTGAATGGTTTTAAATCAGCTTCTGGGTGGAAAAACTAATCTTTAATGGAAGTGTTTTTTCTTTGACTTGGGTAGCGAAAAAGGTACAGGCCAGCCTGTGCATCGGTATTCCCTTGGTAAATTTCTCACAGGTCTATTAACCTAATGCTTTGTTTCTGCAGTGTTACTGTTAAACCAACGTAAATAACTAGTATGAATGCTTACAAGTTGGCGTTAAGCTGTTGAGGATAGCATTCCAGGTAAGGCGGTAAGCTCTGCGCTGCACCTGCGTTTGACCTACTGTGAGTAGGCCGTGTAAGCAGGTGTGGGCCCCGATGTGGGTGCTTGGAAGGAAGTCTCATTTTAGCTGTTAGAAGTTGTGCACCTGACGGTATTCCTGAGAAGGGTGGCTGTCGGTTACCTGTGACACCTGTGCCTGGAGGCTGAGGGCAGGTCCCAGGCCGAGCTGCGTTTCCTGCTGCGATGGCTCGGGAGGTGCCGTGCCCGGGTCTCCCCCAGAGATGCCCACTCCAGCAGGGCTCCTGCAGCCCTGATGCTGACAGTCCCAAGGAAAGGAGGCCTTACACTGTCCTGATGAGGGGAATCGTTTAAATTCCTTGCCATCTTGCTGTCTCCAGGTAGTCTGCAGCACCTGTGACAATTAGAAATGAAAGGAGGGGCAAGGCCTCTCAGAGCTGTGGCAGGGGCTGTGCCCCCAGCCCTGCTCTGGTTTCCAGCTTCAGCACCTTTCTGGCACACCTTTTTGGCTTCCTACACCTCCATTTTTCAACTGTGTGTCATGTCGAAGTGTTGATTCCAGTGAAGATTCATGGACTTATCATGAAGTTCTGGTTCTGGAGTTGCAGTACCAAATGAAGCAAAGGAAGAAGATCAAGAGGGAGCTTGAAGACAGAAAGTCTGCAGAAATGATGCTGTTCCTTAAAAGTGCATGTGACCTTTTCCCTCTAAGACAGACTTGAATGTTGGAAGAAATTTTTTTTAAGAATGTCTAGCAGAAATCTTGGTTTAATTAAGCCCTATGCTTGAATCAGAAAAGATACTAAAAAGCACTTTGAGTTGGAGGTAGGATACTTGAATGATTTCAGAAAACTTCGTTATTTTTACTGGCCTTGGTTTAAGTATTCTAATATTAATTATTGTGATCATTATTGCTAAATAGAGTGCATGCTTAAATATGATTTAACATTTGTGTTAATGTAGCACTATAAAAATCGCCATGCTGTAGGGACTGAGTTATTTTCTAAATTATTTTTTTTTTCAACCCAAAGGTTGAAAAAGGCGCTGAGAAACTGTTGGATTGTTTTCGTAAGCTGGTAGTATATGCCGTGTGGTTTGTAAGATCTTGTGAACATCTATTGTGGATTTTTCTGGTGCTAAATGAATTCAAAAGTGCAAAGCAAGGTTGCGCAATCAATGTGTTATCTACCAGGGATGATTTTACACTAAGTTTTCATAACTCCCCGACACTGCTGCCTACACTACTAATCACCAAAATCTCTGTTAACCTGCCTGGAGCTTTACAGTGATGATAGTTGCAAAGTGACTCAACGTAGTTGGAAGCCATATGTACTTAAAGATGATATTCGTGGTAATTGTACTCCTTGAATGAACTACAGTAGTGCTACGTGCCTCAATTTAGTATTGGGAGTTTGCTGCCAAGTTTACTTGATGATTAACAAAGTTAAGATGAAAGCATGCTAATGAAGTACTTGAGTAATTAAGTTTCTAATGCTTGAGATCTTGATTTCCCATCTTTTTTGAATACTATGCCACGTTCCAGATTGGCTGTCTATTTTCTGCTGTGTTTCTTGTTTCAAATATTATGTTTCCTTTAGTGTGGGTTTTGCTTTCTCTTTGGCTGTTGAATCTTTTGGTTTTTCCTTTAATTAAGGGAAAAAATAGAGAGGAGATTCACATTTGAATTACTGTACAGCACAAGCTGCCTGGATTCCAGAAATACATGCCATATGCTTCACGTATTTTTGCAATAAAACAAATATAAGGAGAACACTGTATATTTAAGGTATTTCCAAGGCTGGGACTCTCAGCTGAGAAACAGCTTGAAAATCTGATTTACCAAAGAACTAGGTCGGTCTGGTAGAGGGAACTAGAGTGTTCACAGGTACTTTGATATTTATTTATTTACAGTATTGCTCTACTTCAACCTCAGTAGTGATAGCAAAAGTTACAGGTTTCCAAGCATAAATATTTATGCATACATACTAAGTTGTATATGATATCTACAACTCAGGAAATGTCCACTTTTTTTTTTTTTTCAGTGTCCAGGTGCATTGGGTATCAGACAGTAGCATAGAAACGTGGATACCTGTTCATTCAGCCAATTATAAGCACCAAAAAGAGTCTTGTTCCTTTTCAAGCATTTTTGACCTGGCAGAAATTAATTTTCAGCATTGCTAAACCAGAAAATCACTGTGGTTGTTCAGCATGTACAATGTGTAGCCTTTTACCAGATGCAGGGATAGCAACCTGTCAAACGAGTCAGAATTGTTTGTGGTCAGCGCTGTCTGTGAATAAAACTCGCAGCTCGTGTCCCGCTTGTGTATTTCTCGTGATAAGTAAGTTGAAACCAAACCTGTCTAGACTGAAACGCTAAGAGTTCAAGGATGGATATTCTTGGATTCTTTACAGACTTTATGATTAATTGGAATTGCTCAACGTGCATCTGGTTGTAGCTTGTTTCAGGTCTTTGTAAGATGCTGACTTCCTATATCAGTCACTCGGGGTTTTTCAGCACTTAGCTAACAGAAATTAATTGACGGGTAACTGGAGTTCATTTGGCAAGCACATTAGTGCATGCTGATGTGAAGACATAAACTGTATTATTCCAGGATGTAAACAAACGCCCAACAAGTGCGTTAGGTGTCCTAATTGCCTTCGGTAGAATTTTCAGTATGACTTTAGTTGTGAAGTGATATTTGTGTTGATCTACTGCTATGGATCTGAACTGGACTGACTTATTCTCTGATTCTACAAGTGTATATATGCTCAATTTACTGTTCTTCTGTAACCCTTTTGAAACCAGAGGCTTATTTGAGCAACCGAGAGCAGAATTTAACTCCAGTTGGTATTTTAATTATTTCCTGTGTACCTAATATTGTGACCTTTTGACCTTAAAAGCAGCAATTGCATTTAAAAGAAAATCCTAACTAATTCTGCAGGGTTTTTGAAGTCCAGTTTATTCTAAATTGCGTGGTTGGTTTAAGAAAGATATTGTAAAACATTGACATGTATTTAAAAAAAAAAAATACTGTTCTCTAAGCAGTAACCCCTTTAAAAAGTTTTTTTAATTGCTTACAAAGTCCATCGGTCACTAAATGTGCTTTGGGGCCCCACCCATGCTGGTGAATATTTTCAACATGCAAAATTGAGCAGATGACAGAATGATCTCTGGGATGTGGAGGTGGCGCTTTGTCCCTGAGGAGCGTGCTCGCCTGTGAGGACAGCAGGGGCCCTTCGGCTGCCCCAGCCTGGGGCTGGCTCCTGGGGCTGGGGCTGGAGCGGGGAGGCAGCGGGAGGAGGCCAGGACGGCTGTAGGGAACGCACCTCTGCTGCCTTCTGCCTGCCCCCAGCCTGCTAAGAGACTGCATTTCTGGTTTTGGCTTGCTGTTCCTGGATGTCTCCTTCAAAGACAGCTGCTTTACTGCCTCTCTCTACTCTTTGGAAGGCAGAAGGAAGTGAAAGCTTTGTGCGGGGTGCCGTGAGCTCATGGTGCTCAATGCTGGTGAGGCAACACTGGCAGATCTCGGGCTGCTCCACGCTCTGGACAACTACCTGGTACATAAGGAAGAAGGCTTAATGAAATGCCTTTGCCTGTGCCTTTATTTATTTTTCCAAATGTCTAAAATGTAGGGTGTTCTT